CCCATAAATTCCATCCATAAAAAAAACTTTTTTGTTTGTGTATCGATTTTAATGATTAATAGCTCATTAGGAAGATCTCGTAGAGTAGAGCCTAACATAGTTTTGGAGGCGCAGATTTTGGGCGGGAACACCTTAAATTCCGCGAAAACAGTGAAATATATAAAAAAAATCTCTAACTTTAGAGTCCCAAAAATTGAAAAGTAATTAACATAATATCAGGTATGATTATCAAATCAGAATGCGTATACTGTCTTCTACACAAAAGTCAATTTTGGTCGTCGCTAAATCATATCGGTAATTAGAAAACTGCAACAAAGCACGAACCTGTTTCCAGACGTACGTGGCGCTAGGCGGTTCTTTGGAAAGCAAAATCATATCCATAAGTATAACTTTTTTGTTAACGGTCCGATTTAAGTTTGTAATACCTTTTTGGAAAGGGTTNGACAGCTCTAAATGCGCCGAATAGCTAACTACAGTTTAAAATGAGTGTTTAAAATTACCGATACTTTAAAGTACCGTCGGGACACAAAGGGTTAAGTAAAATTCACTTTATATTTCATATTTAATTTGACGCTTATTGCAAGTAAGGTAGAAGAATACAATTGTTTTCTCCAAAACGGTTGGGATTTAAAAATTGAAATTTTTTGTTATTGAATGGAACGTTTGGAGGTAAGTTTTTGAATTTAATCTGATATCTGTTGAAAGATAGTTTGAACAAAAAAATGGTTTTCCCAAATCGGTTTGAATAACTATAAAAAAAAGGAAATGGTTTAAATAGATTTTGAAAGACCCGTGTGAAGTTACCCATAAATTCCATCCATAAAAAAAACTTTTTTGTTTGTGTATCGATTTTAATGATTAATAGCTCATTAGGAAGATCTCGTAGAGTAGAGCCTAACATAGTTTTGGAGGCGCAGATTTTGGGCGGGAACACCTTAAATTCCGCGAAAACAGTGAAATATATAAAAAAAATCTCTAACTTTAGAGTCCCAAAAATTGAAAAGTAATTAACATAATATCAGGTATGATTATCAAATCAGAATGCGTATACTGTCTTCTACACAAAAGTCAATTTTGGTCGTCGCTAAATCATATCGGTAATTAGAAAACTGCAACAAAGCACGAACCTGTTTCCAGACGTACGTGGCGCTAGGCGGTTCTTTGAAAAGCAAAATCATATCCATAAGTATAACTTTTTTGTTAACGGTCCGATTTAAGTTTGTAATACCTTTTTGGAAAGGGTTCGTCCTGTAGATCATGTCATAGTAATAGCGGCGCGAAATTCTAACAATAACGTTAATTAAACGATTAAAAAGGTTATAAACAATCATATCCATAAATATAACGTTTTTGTTAATTGTCCGATTTTAATATGTGATACCTTTTTGGAAAGGGCTCGTCCTGTAGATCATATCATAGTAATGGCGGCGCGAAATTCTAACAATAAGGGTGATTAAACGATTAAAAACGTTATAAATAATTATATTCTTAGTCCTGTAAACATTGTTAGTAACTGTCCCACTTTTATAATAAGTAAAAACACAGTATATTAATAAAATACTATAATTCAAACGACAAGTCAACTGTATATTATATAATTTTTCTGTAAAGATAATAAGTATCTAAAACAATTATTTACAAAATGAGATCAATTAAACAAAATTGTATAAATAGTCAACTACTAAAATCTAATTTAATTGTAGTTACATTTAGTTGCTACATTAAATTGTATATAAAAATTGATGGCACATTTTTATTGTACCGTATAGGGCCGTTACCCTCAATCAAATAGAAAGACAGTCTTTCAAAAAATCAATAAAGTATGTAAAAATAGAAGGACTGGTAACATTTTCAGATTCTAAAAATGTTTAATTTTTGCAATAATGAATATTAAAATTCAAAATTCCCTGTATAACAGCTTTGGTGACGTTTACGAGGTTTTCACGTACGATCTAGAAGATCAGACAAAACGTGAATCGTTCGGATCTCTTCTTCTAGCGCATAAGATTCTCGTGGCATCTCGCTCATACACCTTTTATTGATTTTTATTTCAACCAATCGCGTGCGAAACGACGGTGACGTATCCAAAGTTTTTTCAAATTTTCATAATTTTTTTTTTTTAAACTAAGGCCCTGTTTGAAAAATACAAAATTAATAGAAGTCTTCAATTTTGCTAAACTATCGAATAAGCCAATAGAAAAAAGAATGTGTAACGGCCCCATTACAGTTTAAGATCGCTGTCTACAAAATCCAAACCGCTCGTCCAAAAAATTTTTGCAGGTATCACGGGCCATCTACGAGCATTACTTGTATTTGAATTCATTATGAACCTCATGTCTCTGAGACAGTTTTCCTTTAATGAGTCGGAGTTTTTTTAATAAAATTTCAATAATGATGTTGAATCTGCATTTAATGATTTAAATGGTTTATTTGATAATATACAGTCAATCAAATGACAGACAAGAACTCCACAATTGTATCAATCTGCTTGTAAAGGATAATCTAGTTTTGGAAATTTGTTTTAAATGTTCCTGGCTGTTGTTAAAGGTCCTATTTTCATACTGTGAATTGTATGTTAATGGATCGCGTTTCGCTCAACTCTCTTCTGGCACTTTGTTTGACTTTTCGTTTATTACACATCTCGTATTAAGTTATATTTATTAGTTATTAGTTAGTTACAGACAATTAACAAAAACGTTATATTTATGGATATGATTGTTTATAACCTTTTTAATCGTTTAATTACCGTTATTGTTAGAATTCCGCGCCGCCATTACTATGACATGTTCTACAGGACGAACCCTTTCCAAAAAGGTATTCCACAAACTTAAATCGGACCATAAACAAAAAAGTTATACTTATGGATATGATTTTGCTTTTCAAAGAACCGCCTGGCACTTTTCTAATTACCCATATGATTTAGCGACGACCAAAATTCACTTTTGTGTAGAAGACAGTATACGCATTCTGATTTGGTAATCATACCTGATGTTATGTTAATTAGTTTTCAATTTTTGGGACTCTAAAGTTAGAGATTTTTTTTATATATTTCACTGTTTTCGCGGAATTTAAAGTGTTCCCGCCCAAAATCTGCGCCGCCAAAACTATGTTAGGCTCTACTCCACGAGATCTTTCTAATGACCTATTAATCATTAAAATCGATACACAAACAAAAAAGTTCTTTTTATGGATGGAATTTATGGGTAACTTCACACTGGTTTTTGAAAGATAACATCTTGTGCCTTTCATGAATGAATTTGGAGATATATATTTATAGCGTTGGTTTCAAATAACGTCAATATTTACCCATTCAAACATTGGAAGAAGAACTGTAAAGAACAAAGAATGTTTTTATGATAGAAATTTCTTTATCGAAATAAAGAACACTTTGTTTAAACATCTAAAATAAATTGATCGGAAATTTTGGGTTATTTTTGAATATTTACATATAGATTTGGGTAAACCTATAAACCCCTTCGAAAAACACCGAAATATAATATCTCCAGCGCAGAGAGTGAAGTTAAATGTTGATACAAACCCAAAGAGAAACAAAACGAGTATAATATAGTCTCAATTTCGGGAAACTCACGCTTCTTAATTGTTATTATTTCTAAATGTTTATGTATATTGAGTGCAAATCTATATCTAACGTATACAAAACCGATATGAATCTCGGTGGATATCTATTAATAAACGGGTTTCAACGACTGTCCGATTGATTTTGTAATATGACGAACTTTATGTCTTGCCGCCGTACATCAAAGCGTTTTAAAAAAGATACACGAAAATCCAACTGAAAAGTTTACGATTTTTTAATAGTTTCTTCTACGAGTTTTAATTGCCTAAGCTACGAAGTGATAAATTTCGTAGTCAAACTAACAAATCATGGATCTTAACTAAGGTAAATTTACAAATATACATGTTAAATCATCAGCTTGTACTTCCTCAGTTAGAACTGAATTGAGTTCGTTTCGCAAGATGAAAAATAAATAATAAGAAAAATTTAAAGACGATTATTTTTAACAGACACTAAATGCGAAGTGTAAAGTTAAAGGGTCTTTTTTAACATACAAAAGCTTATTGTTCGGAGTAGAACGAAGCGCTTTTTCAAGGAGTCGTAAAGAAGGCGCCTCGAGGATGAAAAGGTTTTTTTGACGATAAACTCACGCCCACCGTCTAATATAAGATTTCTTTTACAACGAAGAAGCCGATTTTTCTTTTGGATTTAGAAAAACGTCCAACTTATTACGCAGTACCAAATTACAACGTAAAAGTTGCAAGAAAAATTACACAAAATTCATAATCTATTCTTATTTTCTGATGAATAGGTTATTTAAAAGGTGATTATGTCTGAGATATTGTCAACACCCTACTACATAAATTTTAGCTAAAAATACAATAGAGACGACCTAAAGTCAAAATATAAAAATGATGCCAATTTTTTTTTTTCATAAAGTTAACCTTGTTTTTATAGTTCGTAAATCAAAACGACTACAGGTGAATAAATCAGGTTTTGAAGTACAACGGGATAACACCTTCATAAATTAATAACAATGTTATATCCGGCGAAGACGCAAACGCAATATAAAAGCTATTATTCTTTGGTAATTTGGTTTTTACAATGCACTAAAGAGTTTAAATGGGTAACTTCAATGCGGCGAGCAATTACGAGCGTATTTCCTACAACGAACCGGAAAATCGCGATTAGATTTATTTCATTTTAATTTTGGTTTTCCGCGGAAAAGATCTCGAATCGTTTAAATATTTACGACAGCTAGTTGTACAAATTGAACACAGACTAAAAACCAGCATTAATTCGTGAAACACAATTTGGCCGGGGCGCACTTCGCTAAAACGCTAAAACAATTCAGGTGTTGGCTGTTTATGCCAAATACACACTTTTAACATTTTGTATTTTTCTTATTCGTATTCTTTCAAATAGATAAGAAAATAATAGAAGAAAACGTCGAAAAAATAGTGTCTCAATTTCTTTTTCTTACGTCAACGATGAAAAATAACTTGATGATTTTCACGCACCGTGAAAAAAATTTTTTTTTCTTTCAAAGGAATCACTATTTTCACTGGATCACATTATTTCACTAATTAGTTGGTAATTGAAAGTCATGGAGTAGCGGGAATCGCGGCTCTGCTGCCAAAATGAGAACGCGTACGAACCGCGGCTCGGTTAAAACTGATTCTCTGATATAATATTTTGAGACTGTGACGTGCGAATGAACCGTCGTCGAGCTCATGCGGGTTCGTTCCGTGAACGTCTGGTAACGTCTGTACGCATCCACGACTGATCTACGATACGAGACGTCAACTTTAAAATCAGACTCCAACTTTCCAAAGGAAAGTGTTAAATTAAGCTTTAAGTTAACATCATTTTTTGGATCAATATCAATTTTTGTTTGGGAAATAGACGGAAAGTGTCTTTTAAGGATGAGTTGGAATTCCTGTTTTCTATACTGATCGAGAAACAGCCGTATTTTCATTCCTAATTCAAATAGTCAAATAGTAAAAATCTACAACTATGTGGATCGTTTGGAAATAGTGTTGTTTCAACCGAAATAAAATTCATAAAATAGCGAACTTATACACGTTCAGAGGGTAATAAATAGTTCAGTTTCTAGGTTTAATGTTAGTTCTAGTTTTACAACAGCACTATCACTAGAACTAAAACAAAACCTAGAACTAGAAAGTATCGGGTTTAACCGTCTAGTTCTTGGTCTAGCGTTAGTTCTAGTTTTGCACTATCACTAGAACTAACACTAGACCTAGAACTACAAACATTCTTGAATGTTTGTATAGTTTCCGATATTTCTGGTGGTTTTTATGGCCCTCAGAAACACTAGTGGATGCAATTATCACCCTGAAAAAGTACCTGTACGTGATTTATGATAGGCCCTCCTAGCGAACTAGATCCAGGGACGCACTTCTTTTTTTATTTTATTTTAAATTAAAAACTCTTAAACAGTATTTAGAGTACTAATTATTGTTTACATTCTAGAAAAAAAATTTTCAAATTTTGAATAAATTGTTGTATTTTCACACAAAGTAATGGTATTTCAGTTTTTGAATATTATGTTTTTGTAATTTTCCTTAATGCGGATCTGAACAACTCACGCCAGTGTTTTGGGTTCGTAAACTACCTGTTGCAATTAAGTCATAAAAACCATCAGAAATATCGGAAACTATACTTCTGAATCTTTTGTTAGTTCTAGTAACAGCGGTAGGTAGTGCTAGTTAGCATAAGATATCACTATGTTGCATATTATTATTACACTAAAACTAGAACTAACACTAGATCAACTAGATACTTTCTTAGTGTTAGTTCTATACCATTTCCATGGTGTGCAATCTTACTACTATAAAAATGTAGACCGAGATTTAGTACCCTCACAATCCACTGGATGACGTTGTAAACTGAATTTGCAGCAATCTGCATTATCTACACAAACAAAGCGCTTGTAACCATAGAAAAAGTTATGTATAACGTCAAACTCATGGTGTGCAATCTTACTACTATAAAAATGTAGACCCTGGTTTTAGTACCCTCACAATCCACTGGATGACGTTGTAGACTGAATTTGCAACAATCTGCATTATGTACACAAACAAAGCGCTTGTAACCATAGAAAAATTTATGTATAACGTCAAACTCATGGTGTGCAATCTTACTACTATAAAAATGTAGACCCTGGTTTTAGTACCCTCACAATCCACTGGATGACGTTGTAGACTGAATTTGCAACAATCTGCATTATGTACACAAACAAAGCGCTTGTAACCATAGAAAAATTTATGTATAACGTCAAACTCAGGGTGTGCAATCTTACTACTATAAAAATGTAGACCCTGGTTTTAGTACCCTCACAATCCACTGGATGACGTTGTAAACTGAATTTGCAACAATCTGCATTATGTACACAAACAAAGCGCTTGTAACCATAGAAAAATTTATGTATAACGTCAAACTCATGGTGTGCAATCTTACTACTATAAAAATGTAGACCCTGGTTTTAGTACCCTCACAATCCACTGGATGACGTTGTAAACTGAATTTGCAACAATCTGCATTATGTACACAAACAAAGCGCTTGTAACCATAGAAAAATTTATGTATAACGTCAAACTCATGGTGTGCAATCTTACTACTATAAAAATGTAGACCCTGGTTTTAGTACCCTCACAATCCACTGGATGACGTTGTAAACTGAATTTGCAACAATCTGCATTATGTACACAAACAAAGCGCTTGTAACCATAGAAAAATTTATGTATAACGTCAAACTCATGGTGTGCAATCTTACTACTATAAAAATGTAGACCCTGGTTTTAGTACCCTCACAATCCACTGGATGACGTTGTAAACTGAATTTGCAACAATCTGCATTATGTACACAAACAAAGCGCTTGTAACCATAGAAAAATTTATGTATAACGTCAAACTCATGGTGTGCAATCTTACTACTATAAAAATGTAGACCCTGGTTTTAGTACCCTCACAATCCACTGGATGACGTTGTAAACTGAATTTGCAACAATCTGCATTATGTACACAAACAAAGCGCTTGTAACCATAGAAAAATTTATGTATAACGTCAAACTCATGGTGTGCAATCTTACTACTATAAAAATGTAGACCCTGGTTTTAGTACCCTCACAATCCACTGGATGACGTTGTAAACTGAATTTGCAACAATCTGCATTATGTACACAAACAAAGCGCTTGTAACCATAGAAAAATTTATGTATAACGTCAAACTCATGGTGTGCAATCTTACTACTATAAAAATGTAGACCCTGGTTTTAGTACCCTCACAATCCACTGGATGACGTTGTAAACTGAATTTGCAACAATCTGCATTATGTACACAAACAAAGCGCTTGTAACCATAGAAAAATTTATGTATAACGTCAAACTTGGTGTGCAATCTTACTACTATAAAAATGTAGACCCTGGTTTTAGTACCCTCACAATCCACTGGATGACGTTGTAGACTGAATTTGTAGCAATCTGCATTATCTACACAAACAAAGCGCTTGTAGCCATAGAAAAATTTATATATTATGTCACATTTTTGTTTTGTCGTTTGGTGTGATAACTGGTGATAACCCCGTTGTATCAGCAAATATTCTTCCTTACTTTCCTTTGGCTTAGTGTTTTATATCCTTTAGTTAACTGTTTAAATAAGTTAGGGCCAACTTTTACNTGAAGTTATGGTGCTTCCAAATTTCGAAAAGTTAACGTGTCATAGTAAAGTGACCAAACGATCTAGACAGCCGTTCTCGGCACCAAAACATACTCCATCATGTTGTTTAAGCATGTTCTGAATCCTAAATTGATATCTCAAAAATTGAGTGTTCTATGATTTTTTGAACAAATGTCCGCTGGAGCAAATTTTTCTAGAAAAATTCGAATAACTCGAGAATTGCTGGTTCAAATTGCAAAAAGTAAAGTTATTTATAAACCTTCAAAACAGACAAATCCAAATATGTAAAAATATACAGGGTGTTCCATTTAAAAAAATAGAGTAGGTGCTAGAAATCTGAAAATATTTTAGATGAAGAGAACATAATTGATAATACTTAAGTCTGCATTCTCAAATTTTTTGTTTGGCTAGAACCCCAAAAACGTCTAATGACCGGTCTCGCTGAGACACGCTGTATTTAATTTATTAAATTAAATGATTTAAGAAGATGAGTAATATCATTTTCTCCTGAATTTCTTGCAAATAAATAAATAACTTATTCATTTTCCATAGTAATAATTTATTACAAACTCCAGGCTTTAAATAGAAATTAAATTTTTGATCTTCAGAAAAGTTATCCTCAGGAAGTTATAACTAAACTGCAATAGATTTCAACTTATCTCATAAACTATCATAATTATGATTATCATAATCATCACGTTTTATACTTTACTACGTACTAACACAAAGTAAGTATATAAAAAAAACATCCTTAACATATTTTTAGGATATCCTGGATATAAAAAGCGATATAGTGTTTATCGATTAAATTTTTAAATAGATCGAACCGAATATATGATACTACAATCTAATAATAGTCAAATTCAAAAATATATAATGAACTATTCTAATTATAACAAAGGGTAATCGCCAAATTAATACGATTGAGTGTTGAAAATAATGCAAAAAAATTTTTTTTAAGAAATTGATATTTAAAATTGGTATATTTGAATGTAGTTAACGCATCTGTTTGAAATGAATTAATCATCACTTTACGTTCAAGCCTGATTTAACAAGAACAACATTTCAACACTAGGGCAATTGTAGCTGGGGTTCTAAATTCGTATTTTTGAGTCGACTCGTTTCGAAATCGCACACATTCAGTTTAACTTATAGGTGCCCGCTAGTGGTCGACGAAGATTAGAACAATGACGTCAATGGAGTTGCCCAAGAGTTAGTTCGGTTGGGTTGTGAGTTTAATTTTAGAAGTGCAAGAGTAATTTTCGGATCATTACCGAAATGATCTCGCACCTGCCCTTATTGCTTCTGACCCAATTTGTGCCTAATCGATTTTATGTAGGTTTAAATAAATCTTTTTTCTTACGACATAATAATATCGACAGACGAATAACCTTGGGTATTAGAAAATTTTCATTTTGACTTAGTACTAGCCGCACACATAAAATTTATTAAAAGCCGGTGTCGACGTTGCCAAGTCAAAACGGCGGCATTGTTTCGCCTTTTTTCTGTTTACTACGTCCGCGGTGTATTTTTAAACTGTGTCTGCGACCACTTTACTACGACGAAAGACAAAAAAAACTTAAATCCTTATGTCAAAGTGTAGATACATATTTTGTTTGGAACACGTTCTGTATGATTTTTTTTTGTAGAAAATAAAAATAACCGTTCCGAGAGCAACACGTCACATCGTTTTACTCTTTTTTTTTTCAATTTTGATTCCTGTAGCGTGTGATGTCATATGCTCTTCGATACACAGTTCGTTGTTGCGGTGCCAAAAAAATAATATACATATAAAATTAAAATTATTTAAGGTGCACTCAAAGGAAAAAAACTTTTTAAAAATAACCTCTTTATAATAACGAAAAATACTATTTATATTCCCCACAAATCAGCGTAACAAGAAAGTCAAACACAAC